TGTCTTGAGACAACAAATATATTTTCATTTCCGTTTTGAATTTCTTTTTTGTACATGAATCTTTTATTTTTTTGGTATTCCATTCCATATTTCTGTTCCCGTATATTTTATTGAAAATTTTCCATAATTTGTTCTATTGCCTTTTTTATGGATCAAATTTGTACTTCTTGTATTATGCTTATGAATTTCGCTATTCAAAGTGAAATAGTTGTCAAAAAAGGTAGGTAAATTTCCTTTTGCGTAATCGTACATAAAAAGGCTAATGCATAGTTTGTTAAGTTGCACAATTTTTAACAGTTTTGTTTTTCGAAAAAGTGGTACCGATTTTGCATTATATGAACTTAATGTGATGATTCTAACTGCTCGTTTTTGTATTTTGAGAATCTTTTTTAGTTTTGAGGGATAATTATTTGCCCAAACTGCATTACCGTAATATAGAAAAGGGTAAATTAGTGTGTTGTATAATGTTGTTAATGTGTCTCTTTTTAGGAAGTTGCGTGTTTTGTTGAGTATGCCAGTTGTTTTGGCAATTTTATTAGCTACATAGTTTATATGATCATTCCAAGTTAAGTGTTGGTCTATTATCATTCCTAGAAATTTCGTATTTTTGACATGAGCAAGATTATCATTTTCAATTTTTATTTTTATTTCATGTTTAAGTTTCTTTTTCTTAGATTTAAATACTATGTAATTCGTCTTTTTTATATTAAGTGTTAATTGATTATTTTTAAACCATTCAGATATTTTTTTAATTTCATTATTTACAACTAATTCTAGTTGTTCAATATTTTTCCCAGAATAGAAAAGATTTGTATCATCTGCAAAAATTATGAATGATGTTAATTTACTTGAGTTAAATATATCATTTATATATAATAAAAATAATAGTGGTCCTAAAACAGAACCTTGTGGTACCCCACACTGAATTTTTTCTTTTCTTGATAATATATTATTGAATTTTACTATTTGTTCTCGATCAGTTAAATAGTTTTGAAACCATTTATAAGGCATTCCCCTTATGCCATATGATTCTAATTTTTGTAGTAAAATTTTATGATTTACTGTATCAAATGCTTTTGACAAGTCCAAAAATATCCCTATCGTAAATTCATTGTTTTCAATTGCTCTTTTGATTTTTTCAGTTAAGTGGATAATTGCCATTGTGGTTGATCGATTGCGTCTAAATCCATATTGATTATTATGTAAAATATGATTTTTTTCAATATAGTTAATAGCTCTTTTGTACATTAGTTTTTCTAGGATGTTTGAAAAACATGGAATAACTGATATTGGTCGATAATTATTGAATTCTTCTTTATTTCCAGCTTTAAATATTGGTGTAATCAGAGATATCTTAAGATCTTTAGGAATTATCCCTGTTTCGAATGTCAAATTAAATATGTGGCAAAGCACGCTACTTATTTGAGGTGCTATTTCTTTAATTACTTTTGGATGAATCCCATCATAACCGTGACTCTTGTTTGGTTTTAGTTGGTTTATTATTTCAAATACTTCTGATGTTTCTATATCGGTTAAAAACATTGAATTTCCATGGTTCCCTTCTAAATATTGTTTAAAATTACTTGAATGTTTGTCAAATTGTTTTGCCAGATTTGGTCCAATATTGCTGAAGAATTCATTGAAATTGTTAGCTATTTCTGTAGGGTTGTTTGTATACTTTTTATCGTGTAGAAAAGATGTTGGTAGTTGTGGTTTGTGTTTTTTCTTTCTGATTAATTCTTTTATTGTATCCCATGTCTTTTTAATGTCACTTTTACAGGTCTCAAATTTTTTGTCAAAGTACATTTTTTTCGCTTTTCTAATTACATGAGTTAACTTGTTTCTATAAAGTTTATATTTTGTTTCATTTATTTCATTCTGAGTATTTAGAAATTCTCTATAAAGTTTATCTTTTTTTCGAGAAGATTTTACGATGCCTTGGGTAATCCATGGGCTTTGATTTAATCTTACTTTTGTTGCTTTTACCGGTCTTAAGGGAAAGTGTTTGTTATATTTATCTGTGAATGTTTTCATGAATGTGCTATATGATTAATTTGGATCGCGTATGTCAATTACATTTTGCCAGGTCTCAGCTTTTATATCTTCTCTAAATTGTCGTATGTGTCTGTCATTTATGTGTCTAATCATATTTGTCTTATTTTTTGACTTATTTAAGTTAGATACATTTTCTTTGCTATTTATTAGAAAAACTGGTAAATGATCTGATATATCATTAAACAGTATTCCACTAACTTGTATATTATTTTCTACATTAGTGAATATGTTGTCTATTAGTGTTGCTGTCGTCCTTGTGATGCGAGTTGGTTTTAATGTAGTTGGTAGGAACATTGATGACATCATTTGATTTAAAAATCTTGCTGAGTATTCGCACTTTTCATGTTTTAAAAGGTCTATATTGAAGTCACCTAATAGATAACAAGTTTTCGATTCATTATCTATTCTATTTAAAGCTGAGTCAATTTTCTCCTCAAAATCTTTGTACATATTATTTGGAGGTCTATAGACAGCCGTTTCTAGGGTCAAATGACAATGTTTCTAAGGCCGGAATTACAGTTGAATTTATAGAAATGTGTCAGAAAGAAAGGCCGTTACTTTCAAAACGGAAAGCCCATTTCGCCAAACAGAAGATGTATTAATTTAATATTATAGACGAAATCAAATTGCCGATTATGGCCTGTCGTTTAACCCCCAATAAGGAAGTAAAATTGTACAACTCAAAAACGAAAAAGTTGGTCATTTTCATTGAAACAGTTGGTCATTATGGTATGACTCTGCTAATCTGGAATCGTTCGCCACGCCCCTGCATTGCACCACCAGTATATCGAAAACTCCTTCTCAAGAATTTACTATCAGGCATCTATAGATGTGTGTTAAAATTGCTGGGAAAAGACAAATTTTGAGCTTTGTCCTAAGAACGCTGTTGCCATGGTAACGGGCTTTCAGCACAAAAGTAGCAAATTGCAATGTTCCGTTTTGCTCGGGGGGCAACCTTAATTAAAATAGTTGTATACCTCCTCATAGGTTGTTGTCATTTCTACTAACTTTTGCCTAATTATGCTAAAGCAAAGCGCATTCACCACCGGGAAAGTACAAAACAAGGACCCCCGGTCCATGAACCCCTTGTCTGGACCGGATCCATGGACCCCCTCCATGGACCCGGTCCACAGACCCGCGATTTCTCAATGGCCCCATCTACTGTATGAATGAATGTTAACAGGAATTTTGAATACAACTGAATATAAATAACCCTTTACAGGGAGAAAACAAATTTACTTGCAAGGTCAAAATGTTCTATTAAATTGGTCCAAATAACAGTTATACATCCAGAGAGCTAGTGCACAGCTCACAAAAATGTATTAATCGAAGCAACTCAAATTGCTGATTATGAACAGAGCCTTTACAGTAAACCACGTTCATAAGAGACGAAACACTTTTTTGTATATTGAACCAAGAAGGCTGCTAATAAGATGAACAATCAATGAAAGTGGTTTATTATTTCAACACTTTGCTGGCAGTGGTTTCTTTAATTTCATAGGCTGTGATCGTTGCCGGCTTTGCAAGCCAGTAACACGATTATTATTCACATGGTGCATTGATTTGTCATGATATGTCGTTAGCAAACCTCGCTTTAGTATGAAGAAGACACTGGAGTGTAGATGAGGTTTGCTGCTAAGAACAAAAGTGTGTTTCAAAACCACTAAAATATTTTTAAAAATTGAAAACTCGAATCATGTTTAACAGTAATATTGAAACTTGGAAAAATGTGGCCCATGGAGGGGGTCCATGGACCCGGTCCAGACAAGGGGTCAATGTTTTGTACTTTCCCTTCACCACCTATTACACGTCAGCAAAAGGGATGCCGGTGTCCCAGGAATTTCGCCCTCCAAACAGTTGCATGGGATAATTATTACATAGGTTTAGTCATTTGAAATCAGCATCAATTCAAAATTGTTAAGACAGAGCTTGAAATAACAACCGATCATATAAATAAAAAAACCCCGATCATATAAATATCAACCATTAAATATTTAATATTTTAAATATTTTCAGAATGCATTTATAAATATAAAATATAAGAGATTATTAAAGTATTGTTAAAATTGTTTTGCATTGTTTTTCACTTATAGTCCTTATAGTTATAAGTTATCCCTATTTTTTACTTGCATTATTTCAGTATAGTTTGAAAATCTCAAGCAAAGCCGAAGGGTAGAACTTGCCAGTACTCAATAGGCAATACGACAATAATATACGTTTTAAAAAAGACAAAAAAAGCTTTTAGTTTTGCAGAGTTACATGGATTTCTCAAATGTTTAAGGCACTAATAAAATCAAAGTATCATGAAATTATTTGAATAAACTACAACATTAGGCATATATATCATGCAATTTTTTTCCGGAAGTCAAGAATCAACATTACATCACTGACACTGACATGGAAAGTTGACGACTCAAAGGACAATACGCTGCTAGGGTGAGGCGGTTTTTCGGTAAACCATGTTTTTTGAAAACCGAAATACTCGATGTTACTTTTGGAGAAAAACCGGAAAACCGAAATACCCGGGAGGAAACAGGGGAAAAAACGAAGAAAAATCGGTATTTTGCTGAAATCAAACCATACTTATACGAGTTTGCTGCAATTGAATCACGTTTTGGCATTTACACACGAAAAACTAAAGAGATTTTGTTTGAAATTTGATAACGTCTTCACGTGAGTACTGAGTAGCGTGTTGTGGCTTTTTTACTGTAGTTTTGATTTTCGAACGTATTTTTTCAAAAAACCGGTTCACTCGGTTTTTTCGGGTCGGTTTTCGGTTTTTTGTAGAAACCGCCTCACGCTATACGCTGCGCAACACATTCCATAGATTTTTTATTAATCATATACAGGGTGTATAAAAAAAACTGAACAGATTTGAAATTGCTCTCAATTTCGCAAAAAATTCACGCACAAATAACTCTAATCTAATTGAAATAATACCTGAAATGAACGCATCTGGTCAAAATAAGCATACAACTACGTCCAAGAACAGTTCTATCGCAGCCAATAAATGTGGTCTTCAAAAATCGAAAATTAATATTGCACATTTAAATATTTGCTCTCTAAAAAAGAGGGAACATTTAATTCAGATAAGACTTTTGATGCAGGAAAATAAGTTTGATGTACTTGCCGTGTCGGAATCTTGGCTTACGTCCAGTGTGAGAAATGAAGAGGTTGAAATTTTCGGATACAGTCTATCTAGATTGGACCGGCGAGGGAGATCCGGTGGGGGTGTGTGTGCCTATATCAAGAGCTCGTTGAAAAAAAAGGTGCTTAGGGATTTAACAGAAATTTCAGAATCTGGTTTTCATCAGTTATGGTTACAAATTCAGCATAAAAAATTGAAATCTTTTCTATTATGCGTTTGTTACCGACCTCCAGATAATCCTGTATCTTGTTTTACCAATAATTTTATGGATAATTATATCAAAGCACTCACTTTTGGTAAAGATATCATAATTGCTGGAGACTTAAATTGCGACTTGTTAAAGACAGCTCAAGAGGCAAAGGTTTTGAATGATTTTTGTCACTGTTTAAATTTGACACAGTTAATTGATAAACCGACGAGGGTCACGTCACGTTCGTCAACGCTTATTGATGTCATGATGACTTCAAATAAAGATTTGATTGCAGAAATTGGAGTGCTTGAAACCTATATTAGTGATCATTTTCTGGTTTACTGTTCACTCAAACTAAAGTTGATAAAACCGCATCCAATTTGCATCACTGCAAGGAGTTATAAGCATTACGACCGAAACCAATTCCTCTGTGATTTGGCATGCATTCCGTGGCATGAGAATTTATTTGTTGAAAATGTAAATGATAAACTGTCGCATTTTGATAGTAATTTTCAAAATGCATTGGCTAGGAATGCACCAATTAAGACAATGAAAATAAGACATCGACAAGTACCATTTGTTGACGATGAGATCAAAGAACTGATGAAAAATAGAAAAAGATTACACAAATTTGCTCGTCTAACCCGAATGCCATCTGATTGGGAGAAATATCGTGCGCTTCGAGATAAAGTTAAATGTAAGCTACGCCAAGCAGAAAAAGATTATGTACACAATGAAATATATAATAACCCAAATATAGCATCGATGTGGAAAGTCATCAGGAACTGCGTTCCACGTAAAGAGACCACGAAACCAAGTTATTCCGGAGATGTTAAGAAATTAGCTAATGAATTCAATACCTTTTTTACCTCAGTGGGGATAAATACATCAGCAACTACATTGGCATTGCTTACTGAACATGGACTACCCATACTGAATCCACCAACATCTACCGAAATACCTGAGATCGATCAGTTTTATTTCCATTCAGTATCGTGTAGTGAAATAAGTAAGGTTGTTATGTCCTTTTCATCAAATAAGGCACCAGGATTTGACAAAGTAT